GTAGATGGTTCCAATATGGATTCTGTGGGCGTCTTAGCCTCTTCTCGATACCTTGTGTGAATCTCAAATGTACCAGCGATATCAGTCAAAGCTTCTTCCTCTATAAGAAGATTATCATTCAAATCCTCTTCATCTGTTAACACATCAACTAAAGGAGGTATATAAACTGCATCTATATCATCCGCTTCTTCTAAATCAGAATCATCCTCCAGTATAGCTTGCAATTCTTTCACTATCAAATATGGATAATAAATTTAGGGATCGCGCCAAAGTTTCGTAAACGAAACATTATCTTTAAAGTGTTATAAAATTTTATGAGTAGTCATATTTCAAATTATGTATGGATAATATCATTCTACAATCTCTAATTGAACAAAGAATGCCGGTTTGGTCGAATTTTAAATATCTTGTGATATATTATGCGAGCTCAAACGACACCGACAGATACTAGTAAATTTGGAGTGTTTTGTTTATTATTTTAAAAACTATGCAGCACATAATTTAGACCATTAAAATAACAAACACGTCAATAAACTATCTATATGAAAGACCCATACATAAAATATAATAATCATCATATGAAAATCGTAAAAAAAAAATAATTAAAAAAATGTTTCGTTTTCGATACTTTGGCCATTAATGGGTTGCATAACTTTTTGTCTTTAAGTTTTAAGTATTCGTAATACTAGATTATTAATTTTTCAGGTGAGTAGCTGAGATGCAAAACTCGCTCATTACCCTTAAACGAGTTTTTCAGGACATGTACAAAACTTATTGTGTCTGACTAATTAACTTAAGTAAAAAAAATTTTCTGCTTGTGAAACATTACCCTGGTCTCGATAAAGAAACTAAGAATTAAAAAATCAGAAGCTTAATAGAAAAATATTAGATTAAAAGTTAGAACGAACGAGTTTTGCAACGAAGCATTGCATTGAAACATTTTTGCTGCGCACCATCTAGGAACAAACAAGTTATACATCGTAATATTTGAAATCCAACCAAATAGAAAATAGTAAAGTAGACAGTTTTTGAAACATTTTTTGTTTATAGAACTTGAACAAAACATATTTCTAAGATGGTGGTATAAAATCGAAGCGATTTCATTAGACCCTTTATATCTTTGGTGTTCACACCATGTATAAGCATACACCGAACCAGGATTTTGAACACTAGTAGAATTTCTCTCACAGATAGTAAAATTGTAGAGGTACAGTTGTCTACTATAATACGCAGCCTCGTCTGGAATACGTGGCAACACAAGGTTCTTTTGACAATCAAAAGAAAGTTTCAGTAAGAAGACCCGTCGTTTTTTTCAGCATGGAATAAAAAGTTTTTTGCTTTCATTTTATAAACCGCATGTTCAACCATAACTTCAACCTTCCTAGGTCCTGCAGGCATCGTTTTTATTTTTGGCATCTCAGACGAATTGCGAATAAGCATCTGTTGTTTGAGTCTTGAAACTGATATTAAAATAATAGTTAAAAACACACAGGAAGTAACAATACTTTACCTGCAGGTTGTCATTCACTAAATGGTTGTACTGTTTTCAAAGATTTTTGCTGTACAATCATTTGGAATATAGTGTCTGGTGCTTTTATCCCTTGTATAATGGGACTCCACAAACTGTAGTTATTTTAAGAAATTTGAAAAAGCCTCGTTTTTACCTTTAAATTGTTCAGTTTTTTTGTCACCTCCCCTTCGTTTTCTTGGAGATTGGAATTCTAATAGAAATACCCAAAAAATTGTAAGAAAAGCTTTGGAGAAAACCTGTACCATTCCAGCGAGACGAGTTGACACGAAATATTTTATGGATATACAGCTTTTTCTCTCTACATTTTTATCCAGTCTTTCATAATTTTTTCGTTTTCTATTATTTACTGGAACTAGTTGCTTCGTATGTTTTAAAATAAAATTATCTTGGTCCACCTTATTTGGTGTGTCATATAAAGATTGATGGAAACGCCGTACAACTTTTGAGCAATAAAATGTTTTTGAATGAGTGCATGTTGGTAATGAGGAGAAGCCTTTTGCTGTATGCCTGGAATAAATAAAAATACAATTAATGAACTGTATGAATAATTGAAGCAAAAATTATTTATCTCAACATAACCTCAAATAAACCTACCTTTTTCGTTTCTCAATATTCCTCTTCCACTTATCTTTAAATATCCATTACTATTAAAACTATTAAAAACACTAATTAAAACAAAACCTGTATTACTTTTATTTAAACAGAAAACTTTTTAATGTTTACTGTTTAAATTAATGTTAAAAAAGGTACGGGCGAGTTTTGCTGCAGAATATACAACGAACTAGTTTTACTACCAACTCTTATTTTATATGGTGAAAATCAGGAGAAACGAACACGTTTTGCTACACTTTGGGATAAGACTATTGTAAAGGGCAGCCATACGTGTCAGAACCCATAACTATCTCAAATTTTCAATTTTTGGCAACGAGCGAGTTTTGCATCTCAGCTACTCAGGTACTGAATTGCTACTGAACTACTCATTGTAAATAAAAGCTTTTTGGGATGATCAGTTTCAATTTTGCAATATCCAGTGATGGGTAAATCGTTAGTTCCCTGGTCTATATTTGTACTGTCCAAATGGCTTAAATATTCAATAGAAAATTACTACATACATACTTGCTTTATCCAAATCATTTTGATATTTGTAACACATATTATCTATTTTTATTTGTTGATCTCACCACTGTAAACAACTGCGTATGATAAAAGCTTAATGTATATTAAATAGTTTGTTTACTTTCAAGCTTTTTGTAATATTTGACAGTATTTATATTAGACAAGGCGAAAACCTCGGGTTCGTTCGGAAAACTATTCTCATGAGATTATTTTGCATAATCACTTTCATGATATACCCCAAAATAAGGTCCAAGTAAAATTTTTTAATTAATTTTTAACAAATTGTAAAAATTAATTTTTTGGTCCTGACAATGTTTTTAAATATTTTGGATCACTCTGAACACAATAAGTCTCTTATAATTTTTCTGTAAACTTGATTGTTTTCAAGTTAAATTCTAAAATTAATTTAAAACTGAGAAAAATGCAAAATTACGATTTTCAAGGCTCAAAAAACATTATATTTGAATTCACCACGGACCTAAATTCAAGTTTAAACCCAGTTCTATCATTTAACAATAGGTATTTTGAACTTATTTTATTTTAAAACATTATTTCTAATCGTTAATAAAGCGCTTATGACAGGACGGGTGCTGGAGCCGCGGCGTGTATAAGAGAGAAAAACAAGATCTTAGACACTAATTTTTGCTGGTTTATATTCTTATTGTATAAATAAACGCCCACCCTGCCATACGCGCTCCATTAACAATTAAAAAGCAATGATTTAATAGTCATTTATGCACCAAAGGTGTTATTAAGATGGTTACGCTCGGTTATACATAATCAACAATTTTGTTATAAACATTTTTATATAAAATAGGTAAAGAAATAATAATAAGAGTTACTCACAATCAATTTAATTTAACAATCTGACGACCGGTTTCGCTTTCTATAATTTGCAAAGCATCTTCAGGTCGAGATACAAAGTTAAACTAATGCTGCAATAAAATAAACCCAATTAGGGTGGTGTCTCATAAAGATAAAATAAACAAATAAATAAATTAGTTCATACAAATTATAGTAATTATGCCAATATTACATGTCTGTGGTTTTCAAAATGAATAATTTGAATATATAAAAGGTAGTAACAGACAAGGTAAGGCCCACAATTGGTATAAAGTAGCAATCTTTTGTTGTAATAAATTAATAAATGAGCAAATAAATAAAACAAAACAAAACAAACATTACTTACATGCCGGTACTCTATTAATTGATGGATGGTAGGTCATGGTTGCAAAAATCATGTATTGTTGATTGGAGAACTTTAATGAGCTATTGCAGTTGTTTTGACAATAAACGGGAAGTTCTTGAGGAGAACAGATTTGATCCAATGAATTAGAGATAGGTATATTGTTGTTGTTTGTCAGATGAAAGTGATGTTCTTTACTATTGTATTAATTAAATTATTTACACTTATAACAGAGATATATTTTTTGGAATGTGTGTTATTTATTGAGTATTTATGTAATGAAGGAGACAGTTTAATGACAATGAATAAGAGTAGCTGTACCGATTGTGTGGTTGTGCAATTTTTGACTTGCAATTATCAAGTCTATTGGCAAAATTATTAAAGTATTGTAAAGTCAACTATGTAAAAAAGGTATATAAAAAGTATATAAAATTATTATAACTTAAAAATGATCAGGGACAAATTAAACACACATTAACAGGAAACAGAAACACTAAATGACGGGACAAACATTGAATTTAAAACTAAAACTTGGGGATGGAAGAAACTGTTAGCACTACATCTCACTTGTTGGAAGAAATGAGTTTTTTCATATTTAATCTATTAGATTTAAGAGGTAAATTTGACATATGTAGGTTGAAGTGTGACAGTTCTTCTTCTCTTACTAAATACTGTAAGTTTAGTTATTCAGTATTATGGAGTATGTTGATATTAATGAATGTATCAAAATTTGTTTTAATTTAGAAATCAAAAGTAAATTCATCACCCAATACAACACAAAATGGCAGCTTTTTACAGTTACATTAATCGGTTAATTTCTTTACCATTAACTTTGACTTCATTTAACAAAGAGTTACAAATTATAAAACAAATAGCTTTGAACAATGGTTATTCCACTAATCTAGTGAATAAAATTTTGCATAAAAAGACAAATAGAATGCTAGAACATCAAGTATACACACAACAGTTTAATGAAATAGTGGAACAAAAATCTTACCGATCTTTAACATACATAGGTGAACTTTCCTATAAAATTGCAAAAGTATTTGATGACCACATAAATATCTCATTTAAAACTGCCTCAAATCTAGGATTGACTTTCTTAAATAACAAGGACAAACGTAACTCACTTGAGTATAGCGGAGTGTATAAGTTGAGCTGCCATACCTGCAATGCATGTCACATCGGTAGAACCTTTAGATCCTTCAATACCAGACTAGGGGAACATCTTAGATATATAGAACGTCCAACATCAGGCCAATCACATTTCTCCCAACATATCCGTCGAACAAACCACATCTTTGATCCTCAAACAGATTTCACAATCCTTCATACTTGCAATAAAGGCTCCTTATTAAATAACCTAGAACATTTAGAAATATTAAAATCATTAAAAAATCAAACAACAGTTACACTTAATGCACAATTAGAATTAGAATACACACCAGTATATTCAGTATTATTATAAAATAATTTTATCGATATAAATAATATTACCTGAACCTACTCCATTTCTCGTTTTCTACAGTAGATCCATATACTTAGAGAATTGTTACCACAAACATCAACTTTTAACATCACACAATACTTTGTAGTTACTTCAATACCATAGAAACAACAATTTGTCCAAGAACCCATTTAATAAAAATACATCTGATATACAGGTTTGATATACTTCTCAGTTTGTTTTAAATCTTCAACATAAAATTAAATCCAGCACACCATGATGGATCGAATTTCGTGTTCACAGAATTTCTCCTCTTTTCTTTTCTTCAACATATCACCAATAAAAATAAATTTTCCTAAAACTAAATTAAACATCAGTAATGAACTGGTATGGTACCTCAACTTATTTAACCCATAATAATTATTATTGCATTCCATCTGGTTTCGACAATTTACTTAATTTACAACAATTTCATTTCAAACTCAACACGTGGTTTATGGATTTCCAACTTGACTGAAAATTGTTCAGACTAGCTATTCGGATTACATCTATACTATTCATAATCCTGTATAGATTTAAAATTTAAATAGAAACATTACCTTTCAAAAACAGATTTTAATCAAAAATTTTTTAAAAATTCTTACTAAAACTACTATAAAAAACTCACCAGTGTTCTTGTCGGTTTGAGGAATGTCTGTTCGTATGAGACAAAGAATTGAAATAAAATATATTTTACACCGGTTTAAATGTGTACCTGCTGCCCGGGGATGGAATCAATTTCCGGTTCCAATTGTCATAAATTAGTATTGCCAACTAATTATTCAAGATTTAAGTCAGTCAATTACTCGAATTCAAAATTTAAATAATCATCAATATTCACCCAATTACTACTTTATTTAATTATTAATTATTACAATTTAAATAAAAATATTTTAAGAAATGTTCATACACCATAACAGATAGCTCAGACCGACAATCATTTCAAATAAAAAAAAAAATTCTCAGGCAATTTGTAAATTTGTTATATCTTTCAATTACAAGTACACTTGTTTGTATTTACTAAATAATCATTTTAATTTGTTCTGAAATATTTAGACTAAAATTGGTTAGTTATAACAAATGATGTATTTCAATTATTCACATTGTTACCATAAAAATTTTTGAATTTGAAACTTACTTATTAAAATTGTTAAAGTATGCCAATATTAAAACATCAATTTACTTTTGATTTCTAAATTAAAACAAATTTTGATACATTCATTAATATCAACATACTCCATAATACTGAATAACTAAACTTACAGTATTTAGTAAGAGAAGAAGAACTGTCACACTTCAACCTACATATGTCAAATTTACCTCTTAAATCTAATAGATTAAATATGAAAAAACTCATTTCTTCCAACAAGCAGTGTTGTTAACTCTACGGATTTATCTGTAGATCTACGGATTTTCGAAATTATTTAGGATTTTCGGATATCGATCACATTTCTACGGATTTTTCAGCTGAAGCAATCAAGAATAAAATTGGGATTTTTACTCTTAGCTTTTTATAAAAATAGAATTTTTACTCTTAGCTTTTTACAGAAATAGAAATATTAATCAAATAATTAATTGACATCTAGTCCTCGTTCTCTGTAATGCCGTGAAAAAGAACTCTACTTGTAGTGTAATAGTAGGAGTAGGGATGAATTTCAATTTTCGTAACAGGTGAATCCCCGGCGCTTAGGGGAATAACAGTGATCTCAGATGGAATGCTGAGATTTAACTTGGGGACTCCCCGCCCTAACATAAATACGAGATCTACTTTAACAATGCAGACAAAACATATTTTATTTAAACAATAGATAAAAATGTCATTATTAATATGGAAAGTAAAATTTTATAAGATCATAAAAAAACATTGTCATCATCCGAGGAAGAGGATAAGGCTTAATAGATTAATTGTTGCTTTGATTCGATTAGATAGGTATTTGTTTTTTCTGTATATTTTTTATTTAGTATATTTTTCTGTATATTTTTTATATCTAGTTTTTTTATTTTTCTTGGAATATGAATGTTTCTGTTTAAGATATATTTTGTCAAATAAATTTGTTGCAAACAAGTATGTACTTAGTAAATTATTGAAACACCCTATTACACCTCGAGTCATGTAGCATACATTTTATTTTCAATTGAATTGATCCCTCAATGTATGCAGTCAGTGTTGCATCGTCGTTCGTCATATTGTGGACATTGTGGCTGAGACACACATACAAATTGCTACGTTTCTGTTCTACGGATTTCTACGGATTTTTGAAGCGCCCTCTACGGAAATATTCAGTTTTGGAGTTAACAACACTGCCAACAAGTGAGATGTAGTGCTAACAGTTTCTTCCATCCCCAAGTTTTAGTTTTAAATTCAATGTTTGTCCCGTCATTTAGTGTTTCTGTTTCCTGTTAATGTGTGTTTAATTTGTCCCTGATCATTTTTAAGTTATAATAATTTTATATACTTTTTATATACCTTTTTTACATAGTTGACTTTACAATACTTTAATAATTTTGCCAATAGACTTGATAATTGCAAGTCAAAAATTGCACAACCACACAATCGGTACAGCTACTCTTATTCATTGTCATTAAACTGTCTCCTTCATTACATAAATACTCAATAAATAACACACATTCCAAAAAATATATCTCTGTTATAAGTGTAAATAATTTAATTAATACAATAGTAAAGAACATCACTTTCATCTGACAAACAACAACAATATACCTATCTCTAATTCATTGGATCAAATCTGTTCTCCTCAAGAACTTCCCGTTTATTGTCAAAACAACTGCAATAGCTCATTAAAGTTCTCCAATCAACAATACATGATTTTTGCAACCATGACCTACCATCCATCAATTAATAGAGTACCGGCATGTAAGTAATGTTTGTTTTGTTTTGTTTTATTTATTTGCTCATTTATTAATTTATTACAACAAAAGATTGCTACTTTATACCAATTGTGGGCCTTACCTTGTCTGTTACTACCTTTTATATATTCAAATTATTCATTTTGAAAACCACAGACATGTAATATTGGCATAATTACTATAATTTGTATGAACTAATTTATTTATTTGTTTATTTTATCTTTATGAGACACCACCCTAATTGGGTTTATTTTATTGCAGCATTAGTTTAACTTTGTATCTCGACCTGAAGATGCTTTGCAAATTATAGAAAGCGAAACCGGTCGTCAGATTGTTAAATTAAATTGATTGTGAGTAAGTCTTATTATTATTTCTTTACCTATTTGATATGGACTCACACAAGCAACACATTCATCATTTTTATATAATTCATAGTTTAGACATGACACAAGTAAACTTAAGACGCCTCAATGATAATCGACTTAGTTCAACCCGGAAGAGAGTGTTGAGTTTAATATTAATTTCTGCAATATTATTAATCTTGGCTCTAGGTTTAATTGTACTAACTGCGGCAATCTTTCGGATTGCCGCATATATATATATATATATATATATATATATATATATATATATATATATATATATATATATATATATATATATACGATGTAGGTAAAAGTTTATGGTCGGTATAATAGAATTTAACAGGATATTTAACACATATATAAAATCATATTTCCCATTGGTCTCCCATATACATTCTTGATGCACCTCATGAACGTATTTCTATCTACCCTATTACAGAGAATCCTTATCTACCATTGTCCACCTTCTCTCGGTCAACAACTTAGTAGCACACTTATACATCAAATTTCAGGTTTTTACAAACTAAATTTAATACTACCAAAATAGATTTTGGCCTTTTTCTTCAGTCATTTCCTTTACTTTTATTCTCATTAAGTTTCTGAGGAACCCAGCCTCTTCAATTTTAAATTCAATCACATAGGTTATTACTTTAATTTCTTCAGCCTGTAGATTTCCATTTTACTAAACTTATTTTTATTAATTTTTCACCATACGAGCAGTCTTAAATAAAGTCATTTAAATATGAGGTCTGATATTAGCTTCAAATATTTGTTATTTAATTTTTACCTTTTCCTAGATGTGATAAACATAAAAGGATAATTTTCATATATATATATATATATATATATATATATATATATATATATATATATATATAAGCTAATCCAACATAAAATACACTTCTAGACCACATTCCATATGACAAAAAGCAACATAAGTTGCCTAAGACACAGGTCATTCTATTAATCATGACTATAAAACCATCCTTGATTTCACATCTTTTATACCATAAATTAATAAATAAAAAAGTTTTTTAAATCCCAACACCTAGATTGCTGTTATTTTTTTAAAATCATCAAAACTTGTTGAATCTTTTGGCTGTAGTAATACTATGTACAACTAATATAGTTTTATGTTGCATTGACATTTTGTTTTCGACATCGTTCATAAGTATCTTGTCAATCAGTTCCCAGCTGTTCTCCGCGTGTAGAGGTTCTCTCACCGGCTCTGGAACTCGCTTCAGCCATTTGTTACCTCTAGCCAAATTTAATTTAATACTGAAGATCACAGTTATTTTACAACACAATGTATAATCTTTTATAACTAAATGTAATTTAAAGGGTTTTTACCCTAGTATTTTGGTGGCTCAGGCATTGAGACCTAGTACCAACCATAGTCAAAATTTTATAATCACGTTTGTTTTAACTAAATGGTTTATACTTATTTTTAGGCATTTTTTCGATTTTAAAACCTGATGATGGACTGTGTGGTCCGAAAACGTTTGTTTTATTGATGTAGCCCCTTTTAAGGGTTTTTTAAATAAATATACC